AGGCCCGGGTGGATGGTGCATACATGGTTGGTTTGCACCATACCCGAAGAACCCCAAGTTTAAGAAATCTGAATCTTCTCTTGGGCTGCAAGTAATCTGTTTGAGCTTTGCCCGAGAAGGGGGGAGAGAGAGAGAGAGAGAGAGAGAGAGAGAGAGAAAGAGAAAGAGAAAATCTTTATTTTATTGGAAAGCAAACCAAACTACCTTCTGGTCCATAGGGAGATAATATATCCTCCAAAGCTGTTTGCATGCTAACATCCTTAAAAAATGTATCTGGAACAAAGCTAGCTGGTGCCTGTGCTCAAAAGACAAGCAGAAATGTAAGAAACCCATGAGAATTGCCTCCCTAACCACTATTTCTGTTTCCTTGCTTAGTCTTTCCCGATGCATCTCAAATTCTACTTCTTCATGAAATTTTTCTGGACTCCACCAGTCAAGTACATTTTCCTCCTTTTAACCTTGCTGTATTTTGTGTTTCTCTTTTAAGACACACATTAGTTTGCACTTTTTCATTGTTTATGTAGTTTTTTTATCACCACATTCTGAGTATTGGAAGTTTCTGGATAGCAGATACTGTGTTTCATTCATCCTTACATCTCTTATAGCAGATGATACATCTTTTACTTAACTCTCATCCTATGTTTGAGAAACTGTTTTACTAACATAATATGCATGGAATTCCTACGAATCAGATAAGCAACTGTCCTAAGGGAGATACGATCAAGGCATCAGAATACAACAAAAATACCTAAAATGTCTTTTAAAGTATAATTTACTTTAGTCAAATGACATCCCTGAAATATTCAATAATAAGAGATATTTTTAGTAGAGTGCAACCTGAAGAAAATCTAGACAACTTTGTAATTATGTTATATATTATAATTAGTAGCATGAAAAGGTTTTTCTGCCATTGCTGCTGCTACCACCAGCATTACCTTGATCACTTTTTGCTGCTACTACCGTTAGTGTGTTGCTACAGCGGGTTTCCAAATTGCATGTTTTAAACTTTATTATTTTATTTTATTTTGAGATGGAGTTTTGTTCTTAGCCATGCCTGGCTAATTTTATATTTTTAGTAGAGACGGGGTTTCACCGTGTTGGCCAGGCTGGTCACAAACTCCTGACGTCAAGTAATCTGCCCACGTTGGCCTCTCAAAGTGCTGGGATTACAGGCGCGAGCCACCGTGCCCGGCCACATGTTTTTAACTTTAAAATAGTGCAAAAGCAATATGCATTTGGTAGAAACCATACTTCGAATTTTGGATTTTGACCTGTTTCCTGGCTATCAAAATATGTTACCATACCCTCTCATGATGCTGGCAAGCAGAGAAAGTTGTAGCTCCCACTCAACCACGCAATCACAAGGATAAACAATCAATACTTCTTACCTGATGTCTTCCTTAAGAACACTGCATCTGTCATCAACAGCCATCAACAAGTGTTGATGCCCCAGTGCCTTCTACCAGCTATTCTCAAGCCTCATCAGAATAAAGAGAAATTGATGACCCTGTCACTTCAGTGTTTCCATCATCTAGCAATTAATTTTATTTCAATGCTTTAAACATTCTTCATGCCTGGTGTGCTTTCGGTTGTGTATATTCGTGGTGAGTACTCGTATACAACCATTCTGTTTTTCACTTTCACTACAGTATTCAACTAATTTAATGAGATCTTCAACACTTTATTACAAAACAGGCTTTGTGTGTAGATTTTGCCCAACTGCCGCCTATGTAAATGTTCTGATCACATTTAAAGTAGGCTAGGCTAAGCTATAATGTTCTGTAGGTTAGGTGTATTAAATCCATTTTTGACTTACAATATTTTCAACTTAATGATAAGTTTATTGGGATGTAACCCCATTGTAAGTAGATGAGCATCTGAATTCTATAGGGTGCTAGAAACTATGCTACACACTTCATGATATTGTCTGTTTTATTATATTTTAGAATTTTATATAGGGATATATGGATTTTTATAATCCAAAAGGTCAGATGACGAAACAAAGGCTACCAGAGTAACTTGCCCAAATTTACATAGTAAATAAGTGATAGAGTTGAGATTCAATTTTTTTTAAATTTAGTGCTTAAGGCTGAATTCTTTTTTTTTTTTTAATTATACTTTAAGTTCTAGGGTACATGTGCACAATGTGCAGGTTTGTTACATATGTATACTTGTGCCAT